AAGTGTCCTCATGAGCCCCAATTTATTTCTTTCATAGCAATTTTCATACTGTAATTGTTCATTGTTTGTACTCCCTAGGAGACTGTAACCTTCTTGAGGACCATGTCTCATTCTTCACTGCATTTCTAGTTCCTGACGCCAGAGCTGAAGGGGCAGTTATCAGTTCTATAAACTCTTTGATCAAAATTCAAATTCTTTATACTGTTCAGCCAACCTGTTCCAGAGATATCTGCAAATCATCATTTTTCTTTGCTTTTGTATGCCTTTCCTCAAATTTTTTCCATTGCTTTAGTTACAGATGTTTCCCTTTATCAGAGTTTTTTTTTAATGTCAAAATACTTGTGCTTTATTTATTTGAACCCATTCTCCAATACTGCTATGACTAGAAATGGCATTTTAACATTCCCAAAGGAGAACTCCAAATCCTGTTGGTTACATTTTTTTCCTAAAGTATGGTATGAAAGATCCCAGAACTTGTTTCTAACAACAAAAGAAATGATATTAATTATCTTGGAAATAGCACATTTAAGCACTACCTGTACCAACTATATTTTAAGTCCTTTTAAACTAACTTACTCTTCATACACATCCTATGAGTTAGGTACTATTTCACCCTCTTTAAGATGAGCAATCTGAGCCATGAAGTAACTTGCTTAAGAATACATTCCCAGAAGGTACCAGACCCAGGAGTGAAGCCAGGCAGCCTAGTTCTACTGCCAACACCATTTCCCATCACTGTCTCTAACCTGGAACCCTTGCATGGTTACACCAATACACTCTGTCTGCAATTTAGTCCTCAAGAAATGGTCTTATACTGAGCCTAGGGAAATTAAAGCAACCTTAGTTTAGATTTGCATTCTGCTAAGTCAAGGTGCCCAAAAACAACAGGTGGTTTTTATTACGATGGTTGTTCATTGCTACCTATCCTGTTCTTTTCACAATTATTCACTCTGTGATCTATAGCGCTGCCTTCCTCTTGCCTCCTTTGCTCTACTGCTGCCACACAGGGTAACTAGGCAGTCCATGACTGCCCTGAGCCGTACCACATCTCTGAGCCTTTGCTCACAATGCTCCCTCTGCTCTGAACACCCTTCCTCCTGCTCAGGAGCAACTCCTGTTCAACTCTTGTCTTCTTTAACTTAATCCACTCAACGTCTCCTCTGGGAAGTACTTTCTGCTTCTCCTGGGGAGGCAGTGACCAGTCCCCTTCTCTTGGACTCTCCTCTGCACGGATCTCTCAGCTCACCAGTGGACTCCATCCATCCATGTGGCCACAACACCTCACACAGTATGTCCCTCATAGCTGCTATTCAAAAAACTTTGGTTCTCAAAGAACCACTGCTGTTAAACAGAAACCAATGGTAAAGAATATAGTATAATGAATCTAATATTGAAAATAATCATCTTAAAGCATTATGCACTGGAGAAATATTTGACCACCTAATTTCTTTTGTCTCATATCTCCCAGTATATGTAACCTAGCAACTGACCAGATAAGGACTGTTCTCCCTACACTGTAATATGTAGAGTAAGAAACTAAGAAACTACTGTGTAAGCACTTATTGATCTTGGCTTCTTTCATTAGGAAGAAAGAAAAGACCTAAAACAGGCAGAAGAAACCACCCATAAAAGGAAATTGTAGGTTTTGTTCCAAAAAGCAGACCCATTCTGGAGGAATGAGACTGGTCCCTTCTGTGATCCCCTACCATTTGGCAACTACCTCTGAGATGGCAAGCCTCCCAAGCACACCCTGCCCACTTACAAAACCTTCTCCTCATGAGTTGCTTCAGTGAAATATTTATTTTATCCACATACTTTCCCTGCCAGTATAGTAAGTTCGCATTTGTACCTCATCTATGTTTCCCACCTATCTTGATTTTACCTTTCAGCCTTAAAACCTCACCTTGTTTTTCCTCCATTTCTAGTTTTGTTACCTTCCACAATACGTGCTATTCATTTTATTTATCTATTTTCCTCTATTTTATTTTTTAAATTTTTATTTTATTTTCATTTATTTTTGGCTGCATTGGGTCTTTGTTGCTGCGAGCGGGCTTTCTCTAGTTGCAGAGAGCAGAAGCTACTCTTCGTAGTGGTGGGCGGGCTTCTCATTGCGTTGGCTTCTCTTGCTGAGGAGCACAGCCTCTAGGTGCACGGGCTTCCGTAGTTGTGGCACGCGGGCTCAGTAGTTGTAGCTCGCGGGCTCTAGAGCGCAGGCTCAGTAGTTGTGGCACACGGGCTTAGTTGCTCCATGGCATGTGGGATCTTCCCAGACCAGGGATTGAACCCGTGTCCCAGATTCTTAACCACTGCGCCACCAGGGAAGTCCCTCTATTTTCCTCTATTTTACTTTTTTTTTTTTTTTTTTTTTTTCGTGGGTGTCTTCTTTTTGTTTTTTCTCCCTTTGCGGAGCACGGGCTCCGGACGCGCAGGCTCAGCGGCCATGGCTCACAGGCCCAGCCGCTCCATGGCATGTGGGATCTTCCCGGACCGGGGCACGAACCTGCGTCCCCTGAATCGGCAGGTGGACTCAACCACTGCGCCACCAGGGAAGCCCTCCTCTATTTTAAATAGTTCTCATCATATCCTTCAACATCTAGCTTTAAGCCTATTCTAAACATTATTATTCTTTAAAAGTTTCCTTTTAATTTCTTGTTAGCACTGCTGTTCCATCCCCACACCTCTCTGGCATAGAAATAAACTTTTAAAATGATCCGTAATAAGCAAGACGAGTATGGTGAGACCTGAGGATTCTACTATCAGGAGAAGATAGATTGACCCCCAGTTGCTCCTTCCTTAGCTTTTTAGGCACCAAAGAAAGGCCATCCTAAGCATGGCTCTCTTGCTTCCTCCTGGATGCAAGAGAAGTTTTTCCTGGGTTCTAAGCCCCAGCCGAATGTTACCTTTAATTTTCTGGTACTTGAGAGTTATACAAGAGTGTTGACACTTAGGCAACCACAAGTGTGACAAGACAGCCAAGATCTCTGCATTCTAGTAAGGAAAGAACAGAAAACAGTTTGGGAGAGTGACTACCAGTTAGTGGGGTAATTGAGCTGGAACATGTGTGTCTACTGGAAATAGTGGGTCAGAGACGGTCCCTCTGAGAAGGTAATATCACAAGTGAATTTGAAGAATAAGAAGGAGCCAAACTATGCTAGAGGCAGGAGAATGTCCCAAGACCAAGGGAACAGCAAGTACAGAAGGCAAAGCGGCAGAGTTTGGCTTGTTCAATGAACAGAAAAGTCTTCCCTTCCACCAGTCATTTGTTAAATGCTGTCAGAGAATCATGCTCCTTTCCTCCTGGGTACTTCTCTTGGGTTATAACATATTCATTAGTATTATGTTTTGGCTACTGCCTACCACTCCCAATAAATTGTAGCAAATATTTGATTTCCTAATGTGTGCCTGGCACTTGGGGGTAGAGCAGTGAGCAAAACACAGTCCCTGCATATATTCATGTGTGTAGGCAGACAGACAAATAGTGAAATAAGGATCATGAAAATAGGAATGGTGTGTTATTGCTCACCAGTGCATCCTCAGGACCAGTACAGGACCTGGCATATAGAAGGCAAGTATTTGTTGAATGAATGCTGCTAATGAAACCGTATATGTAATAGGATCCTAAAAATAACTTGGGCATGAAAACATATGTACATATAAAGACAAAAGGAAATCTACCAAAGTATTAAAAATGGTTGTTTTATACAGTAAGCATGCCTTTTTTTTAGAATATATGTACTTCAAAGTGCTTTCTGTGGGGCTTCCTTGGTGGCGCAGTGGTTGAGAGTCCGCCTGCCCATGCAGGGGACACGGGTTCGTGCCCCGGTCCGGGAAGATCTCACATGCCAGGCTGCGCCCGTTAGCCATGGCCGCTGAGCCTGCGCGTCCGGAGCCTGTTGCTCCGCAACGGGAGAGGTCACAGCAGTGAGAGGCCCGCGTATTGCAAAAAAAAAAAAAAAAAAGTGCTTTCTGTGAAACATGAAACAAACCTAGTGGTTGGGCCTTCAGGTTTAGTTTATGAGCTATAGGAGAAAACCAGACTACCACCATTTCTGGTTCACTTCTTAGGATACTCATTTTTCGGTAGATTTGGCTACCAGTGTTTTTTAGGTTGCTTCGGATAGCCCCTCAAACATGACCCAACCTTCAGAAAGAAGGAAAGCAATGCCAAAAAGCCATTCGGTAATAGAACTGAATATTGTCTATTGGATGAGAACAGGAAGATAACTCTATTGCAAAGAAAAAAAAAAAAAAAAGAAGAACCTGCAAATCAATATCAATACGATCTCGAGTACCAAGTTTCCTGTTAACTTTATTTACAAAAAGCACCTTGCCCGCTTTCAAACCCTCTAAATCCCAGGCTCCCAGAGCCTGCTCTCACCGGAGTGCTACAGGCACAACATCTGCTCCGCAGGCCCACTTAAAGCAAGCAGTAAGCTTCCTTGTCCCACACTCGGCTCGGCAGCGCTGGCCACAAACTTGCGTACACCTGGCCTGGGCTCCCCTAACCACGCCCAGCAGGGCACAAGGCGTCATCCCGCCCAGGGAACACAGGGCAAACTCTCCCCACGAGCACAGCACCAGCCTAGCAACATCCCCAGGCACCTGGGCAACTCAAGAGCAAGTCGTCACCACCAGCCCCGGCTTGGCGCTCCCTTATCCACCTGATCAGTCCCGGAAACACCCTGCAAGCTTTTGCTAGAGACCCAGCTTGGCCCCGGGTAAACCCCAGCCACGCCACCAAGCAAGCCTTCTCTTCGGCCACTACGTGGTCACCACCCCCCGGGGTCCCCACACAGTACGAGCCGGGGACAGTCTGGCCACGCCTTCTACCCTAACTCCTTACGACCCTGTGTGGACTCAGCCCCGTGCCTCCGCCCCGAGCCACCAAGCAAAGCTCCCCCGACCCTCGGCTCCAGCGGGCCTGCCCCGCGACCCGGCCTGCCTCACCCCCCACCCGCTCCAGTTCGCCGCCTGTGCGGACACCTTCTCCAGGCTCCTACCGGAGGATATGGGAAGCAGGAGCAGTAGCGCCACCAAAAGAATCCCAACGAAGCACCTAGAAGAAAAGGGACTCTCGGAGCGGTAGGGGGATGCCTTGCGAGAGGAGCAAGGCGCCGTCATTTTCGGGAGATCAGCGAGAAACCTGAAACAGCTCAGCAGAGATCTTTCTGAGTCCAGTTACCAGAAACAAGAATCTGCACAGTCACAAACCGTCAAACGCGGTCTCGCAGCTGGGCGTGGCCTGGGCCGTACCCAGGGCGGAAGTGACTCTATGGACGGGGCCTGCCGGGCCAATAGGCGGGCTGTAAGGCGGGGCTTCGGTGTTGGGGGTGGCCCTTAGGCCTGGAGAGGCGGGGCGTGGCGCTTGCCGAAGTCTAAGAGACCTTGCGCGCGGGCCGCTCTACGCCTCACTCTTAGACCCTGGCTGTACCTGGCTCCTCCTTCTTCGGACCTACACGGAAGTACAGCTGCGGTTTGCGAGAAATGGCTTGTTCACCGCCTGGTCGTAAAGACTGTTACCACCCTATGCAGGAAGGGCGGAAAGGAAGCAAGCGTTGGCGAGGTCAGCATTGTCAGTTTTCCGGAACGCTAGATTAAAGAATAAAACGCATCGAGCTAAAGACAGAAACCTAGAGCCCAGGCAGTGAGTCACTGTGGGGCAGACACCCCTCAGGACTCCAGTCTGGACCTGGGGCAATCCAGACTGTCCGGATACCTGGGCCCTTGCTCAATCTTTGGCATTAGTCAGGCATAATTCGGAACAATAGTTGAGATTTCCGTGGTTGAGCTTCTGCTACTGAAGCCTCTCATGGCCTGATAGATTTGAAAAACATGGAAGGTTTGGCTGTTGCTCTCCCAACTGCTAAAGTCAATTAGTCTCACCTGTATTCCCAGGAGAGCACCCCTGGGAAGGTAAATTATTAAACAACACCGGGCCATTAGCATATTGGGCCTCAACTCTACGGTCTTGCCTTCGAACGACTAAATGTTTTATTGAAGATGACATATACATGCATGAAAAGGGTAAGGACAAGGGTGCATTAAGTGCCATATTTCTGGAAGCAATGAATGTCGTTAGAGTTGGAATGGGTAGGAATTGATGAGTGACAACTTTTCTGGTGAACCAATCTCTCAATGCTGGAAAATTAAGAATGAGTAAGATTTATTTGTAGAGTTGTGAGTAAACCTGTATGACTAGTAAAAGGAAAGGAAAGTAACATGACCAGTATTAAACAGCAAACAAAGGAGCTGACATTCTCTTCGTATTAGCTAGCAAAAAATAAAAAAGTCAACCACTGTGTAAACATATTGGGGATGGGGTGGGGTGGGGGGAAGCACCCTCAAAGTTTTAGTTTACATAACTTTCTCATGCGTTACAATTTTAAATGGACATGACTTTTAAACTGCTAGTTTCATTTAGAGTTTATCCCAAAGATATCATCAGAGCTGGGAGCAAAGATGTATAATTTTGAACAAAATATAAACTCTTAAATGTCTAGCAGAAGTATGAGTTTTTGACAGGCAGCTTTATGGAATGAATTTCTATGAAGCAAGCAGTGTAAAAAAAAATATGAGAAACTATGGTATATTCGTAAGTAGAAAAAGCAAACTCCAAATCGGTGTGTGCCTTTTGTCATTACTTTTATTAAAACAAAATAGTATATTGATACACTTAAAAAGAGATTAGTTGGAAATAGTCAAAATTAACTAACAGTTCATAGGCTTATCTATATTTCATTTTTGTGTGGTTTTTTTCTGTATTGACCTTTGTTACATTTGGAATCAGATAAAGAAACATTTTTTTAAAAAGCCAGCCTGTATATCACCTGCTCTTTTGTTCATAGAACGGTGGGAATAGAACCTGTGTCACATAGGGTTAAGGTATGAGAGGATGGTAAGGAAATGGAAGCTCTTTGTGTAAACCTCAAATGCATCTTCTGCAATTATAGAACTTTATATATATTTAAACAACTTTATACCTGAGATGCACTAAAGGTTTTCTGCGTTCAACAAACTATGGAATTTCCGTTTCCTCCCAGACCAACACAATGTTTGGATTCTTGTATCTAGCATACAAGATACTAAGTGTGGAGGTGATGTATAAAATAAACACCTTAGTGTCTTGGATTATAAAATCCAGACACTCCATGATGACAATTAAAGGAGGTACAATTAAGGAGACAGTGAATAGAAAACTTAATGAGGGGGACTTATCATTTCTGTTATTTCTTATAGTTATAAAACAGTGATATAACAGAAATGTTCTGTGGTTCAATGTTGGCACTTAAAATGGATCTATTTATGTTCTCTGTAACTATTGGTACATAATGTTATATGTCACTTATATCTGAATAAAGTTCAAAAAAACTTTCCCATCTATTTCTAGTCTTGGAAGTAAGTTTTTATTTCTCATGAGAAAATTTAAAAGGCAAAAAAATATGACTAGCGTTTGGTTTACTAGTTACAAATGCTAGATTAGATTCAAGAACTGGGGCTTTACTGGAATTTTATTTCAACCAGTGAAATTTCTATACCTGTGTTTCATCAAGCCATTCTTAATATAATTGAAGACTTTCACATAGATTTCTTTAACTTACTTTGATTCGACCCAACTGAGGCTCCATTTGAAAGGCTTTGAGCCTTATTCCCTATTTTTCTGGACTAGCTCCATGGGGCAGGGATAGTTTTCTTGCTGTATCTCCAGTGCTGAGACAGTTCTAGACCTATACCAGGTACATAACAAATACCCGTTAAATACTGAATGAAATAAATGGGCATTGCTTGTCAAGTGCATATAACATGTCTCTGCCAATCCTTCCCAGCATGGATTTACCAAATGCTGGAAAAGTTCTGAGAAGTTTTGATTTTAATAATGTTAGGTACTCGGAACAAGCAGAATTTGTCTCTGAAAGGATTTGTCTACAACTGTCTGCAGAGAAAACTTTCCTAAATCAGGCATGGCAAGCTGACCTATGAAGTGGATCTACTGTCTAACCCTTAGCCTTGAGATCATTTTAGTGACTGAGTTCAAAGGGGGAATATGGACTGTGAACTTCCTAAGGTGCTGAGAGGAATAGAACTCAAGAGTCGAGACTTTGAGTGAAGTAGGGGCTTAAACACTAGTGGTTCCTCCAACTCCCCCTAAAGATTTTGTAAAACTGCCAACAGGAAAATAAGAAGAGAATGGAGAATATGGCTGTAGACCAGGTTTTGAGCTATGTAGTAGCTCTCCTGTAAGCTTTAGGAATGGCGGTAAGATGGAGGGAGGTGTCTGTGGATGTCATTAACCCGAGGGGGACTTCATTAAATAAAACAACGTTAGACGATCCTTTGCCTCCTAAATTGGTATATTTACATTTTGCTTTTCAGAGGTGAGGGTAGCAGCATGAAGGGGCCTGTGAATGCTCTCAGAAGAGGCTTTCACCTGTCACGGTGCTTTACAGGTTAGGTGTTTGTGAAAACCTGAAAGAGAATGGCTAAACAGAGGATAGTTAAGCCACCTTTTTGAGGCTGGTCCTGGGAGCTCTGCCACCTCTACTCGCACCTGGTAGGCACCTGCCAGCAAATTGACCTTCTTACTTGGCTGTTACCTCAAGAGCATTACTGTGGTGCCAATCCCAACACAGGGATTCTGAACCCAGTCAAGTACAGAAAGGAGGGCATTTCTCATAAGGATCACATATTCATTTTGTTTCCTCTTGGCTTTTCAAGGCTATAAAAAGTCAAACAAAACAAAACAAAACGAAATTAGAATGTTAGCACTAGGAATAGCTTTGGAGACCGGTTGTTCCAGTCCCTGCTTTTCAGATGAAAAATGTAAGGCCAGGGGTGAAAAGAATTGCTCAATAATACAAGTTAGCTATATAATATTTTAGACATCATTAATATATACACTATTTCCCATAGATAACTGATGTGATAGGAAAAAATCTCACAGATATCTTGTAATTAAAAAGTCACAGGCATCAGATATTTGTTAATTATATTGCTCAGTGACCTACCTACTCCATTACCGGAAAAAACAAAACACATTTTTTCTTGTGATGGAGAATTTTAATTCTAAGAAAGGCCTATTTCCAAGCATTTAATTGCTACTTCCTTTTTTTTTTTTTTAATTGGGGTATAGTTGCTTTACAATGTTGTGTTAGTTTCTGCTGTACAACGAAGTGAATCTGCTATATGTATATATATATCGCCTCCCTCTCGGGCCTCCCTCCACCCCGCCCCATCCCACCCATCTAGGTCACCCCAGAGCACCGAGCTGAGCTCCCTGCACTATACAGCACGTTCCCACTAGCTATCTGTTTTACATATGGTAGTGTATATGGTAGTGTATATGTGTCAATCCCAATCTCCCAATTCATCCCACCCTCCCTTCCGCCAACTGTGTCCACACATCCCTTCTCTATGACTACATCCCTTTCTATTCCTGCCCTGCAAATAGGTTCATCTGTACCATTTTTCTAGATTCCACATATATGTGTTAATATATGATATTTGTTTTTCTGTTTCTGACTTACTTCCCTCTGTATGACTAGGTCCATCCACATCCCTACAAATGACCCAATTTTGTTCCTTTTTATGTCTGAGTAATATTCTATTGTATATATTTACCACATCTTCTTTACCTACTCATCTGCCGATGGGCATTTAGGTTGCTTCCATGTCCTGGCTATTGTAAATAGTGCTGCAGTGAACATTGTGGTGCATGACTCTTTTTGAATTATGGTTTTCTCAGGGTATATGCCCAGTAGTGGGATTGCTGGGTCATATGGTAGTTCTATTTTTAGTTTTTTAAGGAACCTCCATACTGTTCTCCATAGTGGCTGTATCAATTCACATGCCCACCAGCAGTGCAGGAGTGTTCCCTTTTCTCCACACCCTCTCCAGCATTTATTGTTTGTAGATTTTCTGATGATGGCCACTCTGATGGGTGTGAGGTGATACCTCATTGCAGTTTTGACTTGCATTTCTCTAATAATTAGTGATGTTGAGCATCTTTTCATGTGCTCTTGGCCATCCGTATCTCTTCTTTGGAGAAATGTCAATTTAAGTCTCCTGCCCAGTTTTTGATGCGGTTGTTTGTTTTTTTGATATTGAGTTGCATGAGCTGTTTGTATGTTTTGGAGATTAATCACTTGTAAGTTGCTTCATTTGCAAATATTTTCTCCCTTTCTGAGGGTTGTCTTTTCGTCTTGTTTATGGTTTTCTTTGCTGTGCAAAGGCTTTTAAGTTTCATTAGGTCCCAT